TAATACATAAACTGTTACACAAAGATTAAAAAAATACAGATTTTTAAATTTACCCCTTAAAAGGACGCTACACCCACTTGCATCGTCACCGTCTTACAAACGCATAACATAGTACTACCAAAATGTACGTTCTGTAATTTAACTCTGTTTAATATTAGAGTGAATTGTCATAATATTATACAATTTTCAAGTAAGAATATTATTATCTAGTGAATCTCGTAGGTTTTTTTTAAATATTTTAATTTCAAATGGAGCTAAACTCATGTACAAGTTACAAGTAATTTAACATTATAAAATGTTCATAACTCGCTTTAAAATTAAAATGTACAAAAATACCTATGAGATTCATTAGATAATTACTAGAAAATTTGATAAATTTGTAATACAGAAACAACGTAATGTGCGGGTGTAGAGTCCTCTCAATATTTATTTTACTGTATGTTTTGTATTATACATAATATTATTATAGTGATAAATTATCAATAATATACCTAGTATAATATATTAGAAGTTATGCCTAGACAATTTAGTAACAAGACGTATCTTATGTACGTCCACTTGGAATAAAAATAACTGACAACCATTGGTAATGACTAATGAAACATTATCCGCATTATCCTCATTTCATAAAGACAATGGTCAAGACCCCTTTCATTCTCTAACAGTGTTGTTCTATCTATCTACAATTGTTATATAAGTAACTCATTAATAGCACAGCCTCCAGTGTATCGTCGGTGTAGTGTGTACATTCAATATTGTAAACATAATCAAAACCTGTATTATAACTGTAAATCGCAACTCAACACTATAATTTACAACATAATTCATTAGTTATTTATAACAAGTAAAGCAGCTTACCTATTTATAGAAATAAAGTTTGTATTATTATTATTTATTTTTTTTTAGTATTATTGATCTTTAGCTTCGGCTACAAAGGCCATTCGTTTTATACAATATATTTTATTTATTTTTGGTAACAATCATATGAGTCTAATAATTGTTTTTGTGTTTCTCTTAAATGTATTTCTTCATTTCGATGATCCTGAGGAGTGATGAATGACATGACATTTTCTGGCTTATAGTCGTGTCCGAAATTATTATTATTATTAACTGTTTGAGATTTAGTCGACACTCGACAACTAGGGGGGTAAACATAATTCAAAATTATTATTATTGCGAGGAACCAATATTTTACAATATTTTTTTATGATGCAAATATAAAACATTTATAATAAATTATATTAGTAGGTAAACCAGCAATTAGGATAAAAATCACAGAATATGAATTACACAATGTCTAATCTTTTAATTAATAATAAACAAATTTCACGAAACATTATGTTTATCTGCAGTTATTTCATTTTGTAATATTATAATATGAAATGTTAATAGTTTTTATGGAAAATCATAAAATGTCCGCTATCGAAAACACTAAAATTTGTAATTACCTTTAAATACTCAAAAAATATTTATTTGATGAGTGATGTGTCATATAATACTCAAAGATACCAAAAAAATAAGTTTAAACAAGAAGTTTCAATTTATGAGCTTATTAAAAACAAAAAATGAATAAGATCACAAATTACGAAAAAATTATACGTGTTTCGATGGATACGTACTTTCGTAATTAAAATAACAACACTAGTTCTAGTTGACTAAAGACATAACTAAGCAATTATTGAAATTCCATACTTGTAACAAGTTATACAATTTGTATGTATCGAAAAAATTTAATAATAGAACTATTTTCATTACCTGCACATTGTCAGAAAATAACATTAAAACCGGATAACTCTAGACCCGAAGGCATTAAAACATTAGATTACATAGTCCTGAAAATTGCAATATAATATGACCCGGACCTTGAAACTTGACTGAAAAAAATCCGGTTCAAATATTACATAACCCGTATCTAAGCGTTATTACTTCTTATTACAAATACCCTGTAGGTAGGTACTAGGTATCGCGATTCGCGACGAGGTGTATTGTTTTAGACGACGCCCATCAATAACCTTGATCTTCAATAATCATAAAATTAAATACTTCGTTTGTACATACTATATTATTGTATTCAACTTAGTATATTTATTCATGTTAACTATTATACCATGTAGGTGTATAGATGGTCTATACCAAGACCATCGTTTTCGTCATCGAGACAAGAAAATTCCAGTGACAAATCGCAGCCAGACTCATCCACATCGCCTAATCATCTAAGCATAAAGGTAAACTATCCGCTAAATTACTGAGTTATTTATAGAAAATTATACGTTTTAATTTATTGTTCATGCTTAAATTAAACTAAAAATTCTAATGGCCAATGCTACCGAAGTTGTTAAAAAAATTCAATAATAACTTAATAATAATTTTACATTTTAATAATTATTGTAATTTATAAACCAAAAATCAACACATTTTTTTTACTTATTTATATATTATAACATTAAACCATCATTTATGGATAATTATTTACACGATGCAAACCTTATTTTTTTTTTACATTTTAATCAGTTATTTACAATTTTAATGCATTTTGACATAATCTCAATTTTTAATAATTTTAATAAATAATTTATATTATATTTATTAAAACGAAAATATAGGGATAGATATTATATTAGTCACTGGTTCAAAAAACTACCCACCTGTTCAATTACCTTTTTTAACAAATTAAATAAAATATTTTACTCTTTTAAGTACAATGAATGTTTTATACCTGATAGTTTCTTCAAAAAGTATTTTTGTACAAATTTAAAATTGCCTAAATTTCATCATCAGAAAAATAAAATGATTTATTTTTCATGAGGTATGGTTAAAAACATGTTTTTAATATTACATTTATTTTTAATTATAGAGTAAATCATCTACAACTTCAATGTTACTACTATGTGCTGAAAACTTAGATGCCCATAACAAATCTATTGATCGAAACAATGATTTAGATACTTTATCAGTAGCATCATCAAATCATTTCACAATTGTTAATGGAGTAGGGCATAATCGACATAAGTCTAGAAAGCCTACCACGTGTTGTTGTGAACGACATCAGCTTACTGTATTGGTAATTTCTATGACAATAGTTTTCTTCCTAACAATTGTATATTGCATCTACTATGTTCACAGTAAGTTATTAAGAATACAAATATTATGCTAAAAAGATGCACGATGTGTTATATGTTATTAATAACTAATAACTATAAAATATATTTACATTATGAAATAAAATTGTATGCACATTTTAATGAGACTTACACTGAGTCAGCAAAAAACGTATGTTTTTAGCAAATCCCAGAAAAATAACTATGGATTTAATTAGTTTTCAAAATGATAAGCTACAGATGTTTATTTTCTTCCATATTTATGAAAGCACACAAACAATCACCACTTCCGACATTATTAGTGGGAACAAATTTGGATACTTTGACTGAGAAAAATATATTTTTTACCATCTTACCATTTTTACTAATCTCTATACCTGCATAATTTTATACTACCATTAAAATTGTGTAAATAATGCTTTTAAATTTCAATACATTTTCAATCACATCCTATAATTATAAAGGCAATCTTTAAAAAATAATAATATTCATATAAATAAAGTGATAATTATTAGCTATAAACTAGCTGTTATCTATATACGGTGGTTTTTTGCGGCGCTGTTCACACAGATGTTTTTCTGGATTCAATTTGTAAAACTTTTTGGGTGTCATATCGGAAAATATTCATATTAGGTGCACTATCTATTACTAAGTTTAATAAATAGGTAATTTAATAAATAAAATAAGCAAAATGACTTTATTACCTCTTAAATTCAAACCAGTTATATTCAACCTACTATAATCTAATATTCTAATATCTTCTCAATAAATTAACTTGCAATTAATAATTTCCTTATAGTACAATTTTGGTTTAGTAACATTGAATAAAATACTTACATATAACAAACAGTTAATAAACTTCTAAAAATTAAAAATCAAGAAAGTTTACATGCAGGATAGATTTTTGATTAGGCTAGCGTTTTTGTATACAAATGGTTGCTTTTGGTTACTCAGGCAGATAAGGTATAAGATTGTATCAAATTGTAGTGTTTACAAAGTTTCATTTAAAGAAAATATATCTTAAAACCAAATTGATATTTGTAGTTTATATAATCAAAAAATACTAATTTATTTTGACACAAAGTTTTAGAGATATCACTATATCAGAAATTTTTAAACTACGTTAAAAAATATACCAAGTGTGAAATCCTATCCGCAACTTATATAGTTTGAGTTATTTTTTAAAACTAGATATACTGACATTTATTTGCTAATTTTGGTAAACTAAAATCCAAATACACCGATATGACGCTGTATTTTTTATTTGCTAAATTTTTCTCGGCAAAGTTGGATTTTCAGCTGGTTAGTTATATTATTAATAGTGCCATATTTTGTACTAACTTTAATGTTACTAGTAAAAATAAGCAATGCTGTAATAACAAATATTTTTTTTTTTTTTTAGGACGTGCAATATATTGCACAAACAGCTTTGCTTAAAAACTAAGTCATTCACTTTATCAATATTACAAAGATCCCAAAGAAATATGGACTAGTAAAATGAAATACTATAAATTATTAAGTACATGAGACATATAAAATATGTATGTTTGATTGTATGTACCTACCTTCAGATATGTATTTAAATTATTGTATTGAATAAATTGATAAGAATTGAATATTAAAATTGGTTTTTTTATAATAACATACAAAATATTTCTAGTGTAAGCCATCTTATTTTATAAATAGATGAAATGTGCAAAAGTGAGTATGTATATTCAATATTATAAATATACTTTCAAAATATAACTGTAGTTCGCTATAATCCTAGGTGAAAATACGACATATCTACCTTGTAACTATATTTTATAGACATGACTTAGTCTATATTCTTATTATTTTAATATACAAAAAAAGAATTTGCTTGCAAAACGTGTTAATTAAAAAAATCACAAATAAACTTACTTCAATATCAGATAATGTTTGAGTCCATCTATAATTAGGTAAATCACAACCATTGCCTGCATTTGGTTTCAATTTGCCTTTTTCTTTGGGATCATCTTCATCTTCTTCAATTGGTTGTGATAATTCATTTGTTTCACCAGAATTTTTTGAATCTTCAGCTTTTAAGTTTTTTTTCTAAAACGAATAATTAAAAATATTATGTAAAATACAAGATTAAAAAGACACATTAGATATTTGCAAATTGTTTATAGGAACATTGATAGAATCTTCAATTGTTATAATTTAACTGAAATAGATTGCATAGGTTCTTTACACTTTTTTAAAGTGTTGTTAGGATATGAATGAATTTTAAGCTCATTACAAAAACACATTGTCTAATTTATTGGACACGTAATTAAAAAAAACCATAATTCAGTGAGAAAGTATGTAACAAAATTTATTTTGTTTTGTAACCTAAAATAATGTTAACAAAGTTTAAATAAATTCAACCACGCCTCGTGTCAATTCAAGGGCCGAGATAGGCAAAATCAGGGATCTACCTGACCCGTTTAGCTCATTAGCATTACCTAAGAGTTAAATACCTAATATCTACTTGATATTTGGTTTTCAGGAAAAAAATTATTTTTTTAGAAATAATGACAGTCTCAAACACTCAAAAAATATACTAAATATCCGTTACAGCATTATTATAAAATATAATTTGAGGATAATGCAATTTAATCTGTTTCCAAAAATCGAGACATAATTGATAACATTGAAGATGGTTCTTTACAATATAAATTTTCAATTCCATAGCAATAAGCAGCTCGTCTAAGACTTTTGTTGTTTTGGAAGTTACATTTCACCATGTCGATATAATCATGTAAGTACTAAGAAAATATAAGAAATTTTTAAATGTTTTACAAAATAGGTACGAAACAAAAAAAGTTATGGCTAAAGACAGTACATACGACACTAATAGCTATAAAGAAAGAATATATATTATGCATTTAATTCACAAAATTGCAACTTGTGTAAATATTATTATTATAAATTAAACATTTATAAGTTATAACATTAAGATTTTTGTTATCTTTGGTTCACTTCACGATAATTAAAATACTTAAAAATAGGTTACCATTTTTACTGTTCAGTAAACAATAAGTCACAGCAATTGTTATTTATACTCAAATCAAAACTTTAATAAAGTATATATAAGTTTTGTCAGACTGAAATACATATTTTATTTTTTATTTATTTAAGCTTCGACAACTGAGGCCATTAGCTGTAGGTTGTGGTACTGTAAGGTTTTGGAACTGTAGGGTTACGGAACACGTGTGTGTTTGTTTGGCAGAATTTCTAGCGGGCACCCATAGGTTTCTGCCATGCCCGGTTGGGGGATGGCGGCCTCTCTTTCCGGACACCGTGACTGCTTGGAGAGAAGTGCTGCCCGTGACCGAGGTTTGAACCGGTGACGGTGCGCGTTGCAACTGACGCGTTATCCACTCGGTCACTTCGTCCCCACATATTTTATTATTAAAATGTAAAACAATACATTTTTTTATTTGAATGATTATGAAATTTGACATGCAGCAGCAAAATACTGGTTTTCAAAATTTGAAAATGTTTAATCTTAACTGAAAGCTTTACTAGGTAATAATTACATACTTCCAGATTGTCATAAAAAAAATCAGTGTATCAATCGAAATTGATTAAAGCATATGATTTGTATTTTGATAGGTAACTTATGGTATTATTCTTAGAAGTTGAAAAACATAATTTGCTCTAACTTGGTAGATTTTTGTTCAATTTTAAAATATTTTTTTAAACTTTTAAAAAAAAATATGATCAACAAAATGGTTATTTAAAAAAAAAACTTAATTGTATACAAAAAATGTTTAGTTGTTTTTGAATTTTAAATAAAAAAAATTGAATCTTATACTCATACACACATGCGATTTTCACTAGGAGGGGCTTTTTATATTTAAATGTAACAAAGTAGTGGGTAGTTCTGATGCCCTGTTCAAATGCCTCTAAAATATATTACTCTGTGAAATATAATATAACATAATATATCTACTTATTACTAAAATGAAAAATATGTTTACAAATTACAACATTTAGATATTTATTTATATATTATGATTGATGGTAATTATATCAGTCTATTCAAGACTGCAAATGTATAAAAAAAAGTATTATATTATCGAGTATCGACTAAAGTCTATGTAAATTGAAATGTTATCACTTGTAATACCTATGTATTGTAATTACTAATTTGTAATACTATTATATTCTGTAGGTAGATCCAATATCTACTATGAAAGACACACAAATAATCAATCGTTGTTTATACATTTTAGAAAATAATTTCTTCAAATAATGTTGATTGAATTATTTACATTAAATAACTCATGTAGGATTAATACTTCAATTATAATACACATTTTTGGAGGAGCTAATTTTAATTGGAAGGGCTAAGCCTTCTAAGTCCCCTTCCCCAAATTGCTATTCAATTGATTAAATTACAATAACGGAATCAAACATATAGAAGCTACCACTAAATCATAAATATATCACTTCCTGAAACATTTAAGAATGTAATGATTAGTATAAAATATGTTACTTTGAATGTCCACAATTGGTAAGTGCTGACAGTTATTGGTTAATATTGTCTTAAACCAAAGACCAAAATGGCAAAGTCATTGGTGAATGTTGGCATATTGGTTGAATTTGTACAGTTTGTAAATATTCACTAGTGAATGTCAACATTTATACAATACAATATTGGTGAATGTTGGTAATGCCAATATTATTTAATCTGATCTAATCATAATATTATCATTCTAGTGTCTATACAGTAAAGGTATTCTACAAGTAAATAATTTCGATAAAAAGTTGTATTACCTTACCCTGTGCTATAACAACAGTTTTTTTTATAAAAATTTTAATAATTTAGTATCTAAAAAGATACATGACAATTTTTTTTTCTGTAGGCTGAAAAATATAAACTTTTACTTAGTGAAGTGAATATTTTGAAAGATAAATAATCTAATTAACAGCATAATGGCTATAAACGATTAAGCGATACAATGATTTTAATATAATGAGGAGTACTAAATGTATAGTTCTTTTAAAACCAGGAGAAACAAATATAATATATTATGTAAAAGATGAAGACATATTTGATATTATTCAACAAACACCTTTAAACTAGACACGGAGGACGTACTCAGATGATTAAAGAATTGCAATGCAAGTACAAAAATATTACATATGAAATTGTTATGCTGTATTTGAGTTTATGCATTCAATGTCAAATAAAACAAAAAAGCCCCCAGAAAAGGCATTGTTGTGAAGCCTTTAATAAGTTCAGAGTTAAGTTCCCGATGTCAAATAGATCTTGTTGATATGCAAACAAGTAAAGATGGGGAATACAAACTTATTTTGAATTATCAAGAACATTTGACAACATTTATACAACTATGGCCATTAAAATCTAAAACTGTGGAAGAGGTTGCCCATAATTTGTTTCATATATTATTAACTTTTGGAACACCAAATATTTTGTATTCTGATAACAGTAGGGAATTTGTGAATAAAATAATCACAGAGCTGTGTTTAATGTGCGATGGTGTGAAAATAGTACATGAAAAGTCACACTATATTCAAACACAAGGTACCATAGAGAGAGCGAATCAAGGTATTCAGAACCAACTAAGAGCATGAATGTACGATAATAATACTAATAAATGGGAGAATGGTCTACATTTTGTTCAATTTACAAAAAATACAGCATACCAAAGGGTATAAAACACAATCCATTTGAGCTATGTTTGGTACAAAAACCCAAAATGGATCTTTTTTGTTTTCTTTTTTTTTGAGATAAACTACATCAACTTGAATCATAAGGGTATTTTGAAAATGTAATCAAATGTATGAGTATTATAAAAATTATAATATTAAGTTTGAAGACGAACAACCTGAAAATAGTAATACAAGTATTAAGTATAAAAAAAATCATTAAAAATAAATAAATAAATGGTTAGAAGTATTTGAAAATGATTAATAGATTCTGAAAACGTTGATTAAGATAGTGATATGTCGAGTGATGGCGAACAACGGGAAAAAAAGATATTGAGTGTGTATGAACTATTAATAAATAAACAGATAAACCAAACTTAATTTACTCAATTCACACAATGTGTAGATAAATCAATTTACAGAAGAAAAGAAAAAATAATTTTGAATAGAGAAGAAGCAATCACAAATCTTCAAGTACAAGCCATAAAAACGTTGCAAACTTCAAAACAAAAGTTCCTTCTGGCTAATGTAGGCAAACTATCATATTTGAGTCCCAGATGATGATCGTTATAAAATGGATCCCCGAAATATTTTAGCTGTAGTATTAGATGTAGTAGAAACTGATTTTTATATATTAGATACCATAAATGGTATTATAAATCAATAATACACCAGAAACCAGTTTTCAGTATATAAAGAAGATTAAATATCAATCATTGATGTACAAATGAATCAACAGATTTCTTTAAAGCAAGCTTCTGCATCAAAATCATCGAAATGTCATGATAATTTGTCATGTTGCAATAAGTAAAATAATTTTCCCCATTTTTTAAAATAATTATTTTTGTATGGCAAAATAATCATAACTTGAATAAATAATTCAAGTATAATACTGTTTAATAATTATTATTATTCTGTTTCTATTTTATATTATGCACTATAGCACTATACTATAATATTACGTGTAATTATGTACCTATGTCAACATTAACCAAAGCCATGTAGAATGTCAACATTGAAATAATCCTGATGTAAATATCAACATCCACTACATGCCTATATTATTTAAATTTTTCAACATTCACCAATTTAGAAGGTGTATGTCACTAGGCGATTGTCAGTACTCACCAATTGCGGACATTCACAGTAATACATATACATATTTTTAAATTTTTAAACAATGAATATGAATGTATTTGATTCTATTTTTTTTTTTTTTTTTAATAATAATAAAATAGAATAACTTATTATACCTAATTAAGGATATAAATTACAGACTTTTTTTTTCACAAAACAAATTGACTAGAAACAAGAACCAACGAATCATATTATAGAAGTCTCATACAGGAGAAAAACAGCAAGTATATATAAAGCACTACTTATATTAATCAAATAAATGAAATGAAGGTTAGGTTAGGTCTATGTGTTTGTGTTTTATTTAAAAAATAAAAAAATGCAAAATGTTTGATCACAAAACAACAGAATTGGAAAATATATAATCATAAAAGTGGGATGATGGATCTTGAGTTAACTATATAACAGATTGTAACATATTGTAAATATATTATTTTCAGATTACTAGTTTTATCAGTACTACATTGTACAAAAAGTACAATCTGTTTAATGACAGATTTTACATATAATACTCGTTGACCACAAATTAGTGACATGTGCATGCCATTGCTTTTAAAAATTTCCGCGCACTAATAATCACTAAATATGTGAATACAAACGACACATGTTAACACTTATAGAATTGCCTAGATGGGATTCCTTAAAAACAGTCGGTATCAAATCGTATTTCCTAAATTACTAAAAAGTTAACAATTTTCTTTTTATTACACTAAAGTTAATTATAAGAACTACTTAAAACAGCATCTTACAACATTGCAATCTGGTTGACTATTAACCTAATTTATTGTAAATGACAACACAGTAAGCAGTATTTAAAGCCGATCGTTATTTTTGTAAATTTGATTGATTTGATAAATTTGATTTTACTAGGTACCTAGATTTCTGTTGTTTGATAGCATTTAAAAATACAAATGCAGTAGATTCCGCTTAATATGGACATATTGGGACCAAACTCATAAGCCTACAATAAATAATTTGCCCATATAAAATTATGTAAATTAAAACTACGATAATAATACTAATTCTAGTTATTAATTTTGTAAGTAAAAAAAGGATGTACACCGTTAAAAAAAAATGTGATAAATTAAGCATATATTTTTTAACATTTCTTACCAAATCTAACTCTTTTTGGAGTTGCTCAGCTTCTTCATCCGTTAATTCTTTTAGTTTTGGCTTAGTCTCTAATTCTTTCTCTTTTTGTGACTTTTGTAATCTTTTTAATGCTTCCAATTTACGTTTTTCGTCTATTGCACGTTTTTCTTTCAGAGCAATATCACGATGTCTATTAAATACTGACATTAACATCTAAAATATTAACATAGTATACATATAGGTAAGTATATTAATTTTATAATTTTTAATTTAATCTTTTTTAATTATATACTTGTTCAGAAGCTTTTTCATCAGGACTTCCAATAAAGAAATCAGTTTTTCGACCCAGAAAACTGAAAAATGTATCCAAAAGCTAAAACATAATAAAAAAGTTATAGTAGAATAATATAGCGGGCAGTTATAAATAAAACAATGTACCTATACCATAACAGTCAGATAATTTCAAGATTTATCTTATGTAATATCAACAGCAGATTTTTTTTAATATAGGATTATTTTTGATAAAATCAGGATAGTAATAACCAGTACTGGGAAAGTTCACTAAAAAAAATTAATTCTCTCAAGTTCACTGCTTAAAAAAGGAACTCGTTCATGTTAAATTTGAAAAAAACGACTGACAATTGCGCATCATTCATTAAATATAAACCTGAAAGTGTGAATATGCATTCATGAACGATGTTCTTTCTGAACACTGGTAATAACTAGGGATAGGGTTTATACATGTTATGTAATATAATAACATAAAAAGTAAAGTCTAATTTTCGTAAAAATATATCAACTGTTAAGATATGCAATAAAAATATGATAAAATATACAATGAATCTACCTCAGAAATTACCATTTATGTTAGTATTACACTCAAATAAATCCATAGAATCTTCAATAAATTCAATCATTTTAATGTAATTTGAATTTTGATAATACTCCCAGACTGATATGTAACATAATTAATTAACTAAAACCTTTTTAATTTACTTATTATTACTGTAATTAATAATTAATGTTAATATTTGAGACTCTGAAGTGATTAATGAGGTGATTAATGTATTGGTTTAACAATGTTTTTTTTATAATTATTATTTTGTGTCTGAAGACTTTTTACGGTAGAAAAATGTTTCAAACTAACTTAAAGGGTGGTTTTTATTTCAAGTAAATCCAGGAATTCAAATCTAGACTTTGATCAACCATACAAGACAAAATCAGTTAAAAAATCTGTTTGCCAAAGCTCAGAAAAATATATCAAAATGTATATAATGAAGCAATGACATATTCACAAGGTTCTTGGATATTTTGATGGAAAATGTATTGTTTACATAAAATATTAAGTGTATAACCGACAATCTCACACTGAAATTTATTAGAACATTTTTTTTTTTTTATTAGCTTTTAGTTAAAAACTATAATAGCTCGACAGTTATTAGAACAACATATAGGATATATTAAAAATTTTACCATGCAATAGAAATAATATTATAAAAAAAAAAAACTGTAAAAATTCATCATTTTTGTCAATATTTGGTAAAAACGGGTTAAAATGTCAAGTCTATGAGGTTATTTTTTCTGAATTATAAAAAAAAATAAAATAATATTATGATGTACAGAATGTTCCATGAGAAAACATGCTGTGACCCGACCAAAATCGGTTTTTCAGCGCATCACCACATGCCGCCTCATAACATAACTTTACATTTTGTCACACAACTCTGGCCTTAACTTAAAAATAATTCTATTATAATTCTTGACTTGTTTATCATTTTCATTAATAAAAAAAATACACTACTACCTATAGTTTAATATTACTTAGTTATGTGCACCTTTTTAATTATCAACTTTTAATTACAGTAATACCTCCCCTTACAAACACCTATCAGTAGTAGATGTTGTCTTGGAAATCAACAAAAAACGTTTGATAATCTGAAACTTCTAATAGCGGACACCTCTGAATATCAGAAAAAATGTCAGCGACCGAGAGCGTCCGGTATTTAGAGGTTTCACTGTAAATTCAATATGTTACTATGGCAACAACAATACCTATTGAATTAACAATAGAAAAATCAATAATTTACTGTTATAACTAAGTAATGAAATAAAAATATGGATTACAGTATAGAAATTTCATCATCATAACACATGCCTATGAAAAAGAATACTACATCACATAAGTAAAACAAACAAAAATATTTTACTACTTTTTACAAATATTAAATATTATAAAATTTAACAACTTTATTCAATCCACCTATTTATTATTGAAAATATATTCATTTATCTCACACAAAAAACGGGCCAATAAAAAATAAAAAAATTAACTTATCATAAATTTTACAATTTTTTTTTAAATTACTTGTTCTACTCCTTTCTCGTGCTGCTGAGCCAATGCCAGAAGCATTGAATCAAACTTTTCTTCATTCCCATGTGACATGATGCAATATGGATCCAACCAAATTGCTATGAAATATATTATATAAAATTTTAAGTCAACGACTAAAATTTATATTACGGTTAACGACACTACGACAGAAAATTGCAAATCTAACGTGCGCCGTGCGGTTACAAAACAAAATTGGTAAATGGTAAATCACTTATCGTTATCAATTAACATTACAAGTCACGAGGCTTTCGCAGTAGTAGTAGCACCACAGAATAGATAATATCACCACAGAACAATAAACAATATTATAGTGGGGGTGGGAAACAAAATAATATAACGAACCTCCGTAACGTTCCCACGCGAATGTAACGTAATGAACTATCGTGCTGTTTGATGTTCGTAGTAGTTGACTGTCGACGTATTTGGTTTGGTGGGTAAATTTAAATTATTAATTTATATTTGGTGCCTAAAAGGTCTATGATGGTATAAACGTCATACTATAAAGTATAAACATGAAGACTATTTATATTTGTTTTCATAGAAATACAGTCTGATTCCGATACTAATCGGTACACCATTCACATGTGTCTTCTTGATTCGATTTTTGTACCGTATATAATATCGTTGACGCGGCTTTAGATACAGTACAATATAATATATCACATCTAGTCGCAAAGATTTATTTGGGTTTAATTTTAATGGCTTATTATAGATATTATTTATATAAATAAGTGATAACAATGGACAAGTGGATCAACCACAGGCAGAACGTCAACGAATAATATCGGTAATTATTACTTGGTAATTTAATATTTATTGGTTCTGCTGGATCGCGCAGTCGAAACCAAACCCAACCCGAGTGTTTTATTACAAAAACAAACTGCTCACGTCGAGATATTGTTTTGATTCTATTTGCTGTCTAAAATCTAAATGTATGTAATATTTTTTATTTTTTATTCGATGCTTTCTCAGTTTCTTTGCATACTCATACGAGACAATTAATATGTAAAATATTGGATAGATGCCTAATATAATACAATAATTTCAAATTTTTAATACAAACAAATAATTGACGCATTTACTCATTTTGTAAATAAAATTTGATATGAAATGACCGGTCCACCAGGCCATAATTTGGTATAGGCAATCTTTAAAATTCCCATTTTCTGACCGGCCCCCTGGTATAAATTATAAACCACAGAAAACGACTATAGATATCTACGAGCACTTGTCTCTTGTATATGCGTTCGTGAATCGTGGCCACTAATAAGTAATAAGCTACTCGTGTCTAGTCCATTTTATTACCTTAGTGACTTAGTCCGTACAAACTGGCATTCACATAAAAATTAATTATTATAATAAACCTAAGTATTAATACTCTATGGACTATAGATATGCGTCCCCCATCGGGCCCCATACCTCACCAAAGTTTATCGATACGTACCCGACGGTTATCTTTAAAATTCAAAATCACTAAATTTTGTACATATATTATTAAGAGTATTAAATTAAATAATTTATAGTTAATTAATGAGAGTTTGAAGTTCAAATGTTTTCAATATTGGATACTTGATACTATCAGATGTAAACTAATTCAAAAATGAATAACCGTGGATATTTGTAATTTTTACCAAATATTTATTTTATTATTTACTAAATATGATAGATGTTTTTTTAAATATTTTGATTCTTTTTGAGATATTTATAGATATTTTCAATTTTTTTTTTTTTGGTATTTTTCCATAAATATTGACAATAAATGTTCAGTGGCTCAAATAGTTTGACAATTTGATACAAAATTCCTTATAAGTAATTAAAATAGCCCCTCGTAAATATTATAAATAGACATTAAATTATCAATCATGATTTTTTGAAAGCATTTAAAATTTTTATATTTTGACAAAATTCATCAAAATCATGAAAATATGCAATATGGTCTTCCCTATGTACATCACTACAGCCCAAGTTATTTGGTGTGTGAAACTGTGATGTTACTCAGGACTTTAAAATATTGTGATAAAGTTGTCCTGACGGGTAGTGCTGTAATGTCATGTTTTGATTGGTAGTCCTGAAAAGGTTACCGTCGCAACAAACAGAATGAAAAAAAGTCAAATTTGAGTTACATTAATATACAAATGTTTGCAATAATTTTTTTATCTATGTGATTTATTAACAATAACATGTATAAAGGAAATACGAATTGTAAATTTTGATTTTACCAAAATGTTGAGAGTAAAAATATTAACATTTTAAAAGAACAAAATTCCTAAAAATTTCTTATTGTCATTTTAAACTCAAAAACACAATTTTTGGAAAAATCGAGTTTTGAAGTTTTTCGACCATAACTTCCAAATGATGTTTGAGTGACTTTTTTATAATATCATCAAATTAAGCATCCAAAAACACACATTTTGAAAAAAAATTGTTCTAACCACGCCACGATTTCATATATTATAAAGGTTAGTCAACGTCAGGTCAACGCCTTATAGAAATTGGTCTCCAGCACAGATATGTGTATAAAAATGCCTAATATATATTATACTCATAATTTACTCTAGATATTTTTATGTATCTGTGTCTCCGAACTCCAGAGTGATTGTTTAGATAAGCCAAACCAAATGTTGTGGTTCAAAAGGAATTTTAAATGTCTCAGTGTGCACTCACGACCACCAGTCACTTAAATGATTTAAATATACATTTAAGTTTCCCCATTTGACACCCCAATATTGAAAAACATCCAAGGGCTCCTGACATTTGTAGTAGTAGCCTGGTGGGTCAAATCTACAAGGGTTACCTACCTATATGATTTATTTATTAAGATTAAACTGGTTGAGCCCTTTGTTACAATTACAATTACAGTTCATAGGTACACATTTACATCATTTATCAAATAGATTTACAGTATCGTCAATAACATAGTGCCTAACCGCCTAGGAACATTCACTTGCATAGTTGTATAACAATTGAAGTTGTTAAATAAACAATGCGGGACTGGACGGCAGTATTGTTATAAAAAAAATGTTCATTAAACTTTTATAATAGGCACATCCTTTGGTCGTACTGTGTAAGTTTTTTTTTTATCTATTTAAACTTTGTAATTACAATTAGTTTCAACAATTATTTAATATAATATAGTAGTTATACACAAGAAAAAGAAAAAAAAAGAAAAAAAAAAGAATATACAATTAAATTAAAAAGCCAGTATGGTTAAAGAAATATAATATATTTAATTTTAATATGATATTTGTTTGTTTATTTGAGAAAATGTTTATAATATCGAAAGGGATATTTGAGGTGTTCAAAAGGGACAGTAGGTGGTCACGATTTGTTGATAGGCTGGGACAGATAAATAGTAAGTGGCTGATATCACAGCCCATTGAATAATTGTGCAGTGTGCAGAGAGGGGAATCGTTCAGTGACAGTTTAAAAGAATGAGAGGGAAGTCGTGTGCGGCCAAACCGGAGACGGGAGAACGATATAGGTAATACATTTCCTAGACAAATTGAGATTATAGAACCAGGGTAGTGTTGGTGTTTTGCTCTTGTTACGTGATGTACTCAAGATTACAAAAATTAACGCTGGGTTTTTTCGGGATATAAAATACTTTATTTAAATAAATAATAATACAAATAGGTAAGTACTTATACGTTACATTTTTGGCGAGTCGACATTTCCGTGAGTACGGCTCTCGGACGACTAACTAGTATAATCATAATGAATCGATTAGTGATTACACCCGACCGGTCACCGGTGTCCGCGCTGTTACCGATAACATTATATTTTATTATTATATTTATATTATAGTGAACTATGAACCAAACAGTTGGGGTGGTTGGGAAAATATTTCTGTACCAGGTGGCAAAGTAAGGAGGGAGTGAGCTCCAGTGTTTAAGCCAAAGATCAGGTGTGCAACTCCTAAGGATGGGGATAAAGTCACTGTGTAAGTTATTCATTTAATCTAAAAGGTAAAGAGGGTCGGGGGTCTTAATCCCTAATTTACTTTGAACGCCTTATGGGTTCATTTGATACATATATAGTTTGTGGACGATAGGGGAATACTAAAGGGGGTAAAATGTTGAATAGTTCTATGAAGATTGAAGAACTTAAAAATTAATTTAAGGCAGAAGTGTAGATGAATTTGTTTTCCCAGATGGGATGTTTTTTAGAAGCTAGAAATTGAGTGTGTGTCCGTGATTAGTGAGGATTGTTAATCAGTCCGAAAGTTATATGGGTTTACTTTAAAAATCACTGGGGCCAGGATTTATATAGAAATGCACATTTTTCTACAATTCAACTAGAATAATTTTGATTATATATGTCGACGTTTCGTAATGTGTAGATTCTATGGTTAATTTCTTTTCGAAAATCGGTAATATAATCAACGCCGAGGTAACGGAATGTGATGAAGACGGGGAACTGACAGTTGACGATTTATCTATTTTTAAATATGCAAGTTGTATCTTGTGATGTAGGAAAAAGTTTTTCTAAATACAAAAGTATACTTCGTAGAATTACAATTATAATCGTAGAAGTTTTCAATTGCTACCCAGACGACAAGTCAAGGTACAACATGCTTTCAAATAAACTTAAATCTCTTCTAAGAATACACAAAAACGACTCCTACAAAAATTATCTACAAAATCTCTCGCTTAAAAATGGCTCACTTTGACGCAACACAAAATCAATTCTTCGATTAAAGGAAATTACACCACCTCTTCACCTCTTCAACGATCAATAACACCTTAGCAGTTACCGACAGTGAAAAAGCAGATGCACTAGCGAATGAACTATCAACAGTATTCATACCACACACAATCTCACCACAACCTTCATCTTCAAATGGTTACAGAGTCACTCCTCTCTCCACTACCTATGGCCCTACCTGCAAAACCTACCTCACCAGCTGAAATAAGGGGGATAATAAAAAAAACTGGCCAACAGGAAATCTCCTGGCCACGATCTTATAACCAGCAAAGTAATCAAAAACCTACCAGCTAAAACAATAATTCATCTAACTCATATATACAATGCTACCCTCCGACTTTCCTATTTTCCAACAACTTGGAAATCCTCAGTTATCGTAACAATACTTAAACCTGATAAACCACCAGAAAATCCATCCTCATACAGGCCCATAAGTCTTCTACCAGTTCTTGGAAAAGTTCTGGAAAAAATATTATTAAAGCGTGTCTCTGTCATTGCCAATGAAAACAAAAACTTGCCTAACGTCCAATTTGGTTTTCGTGCAAATCATTCTACAA